TTTTGCCTTGTTAAGTTTGCACATGCAGACTTGTTTTGCCTAGGTACAGGTCCTTGTCTTGTCTTGATGCTATCATGTTTTGCCTAAGTATTGTATGCATGCTTTGTTCCTTGCTTGGTGCTATCTCAAGCCTAGGTCATCTTAAGCCTAGGTCATCTATCCTTACTGTCTTAAGCCTAGGTCACACCTTTAAACCTCTCACACCTAGGCCTTTAAGCGCCAACACCTAAGACTATCCTAGAACCACCTTGGTTGACCTCCACCGTCACCTAGGCATATTGGCCGAGATGTGCATCACCTAGGCCGAGGTGTGTATCATCTAGGCCGAGATGTTAATCATCTAGGCGTCCTAGATCCTTGATCATTGAACCTGGCAACCTTTTATTCCGGGACTGGTATGACCTAGGTTGAGGTGTGGCACATCTAGGTCAAGGTGTGGCACACCTAGGTCAAGTGTTATCCTTCTTATCCGAGATCAATGAAACCTTTTTTTCCAAAGCTTATGTCTTGATCCAGGATCATTGCCTTGTCAGAGTGCCCATGCCATCTTGCTTATTGTACACACTTTGTCATACTCTTGTCTTGTCATTCTGGCACCTTTTTTAGGAGATCTAACCAGATGATGCCACGTGTCCTAGGAGTGGTTTAAGCCAACTAGCAGTGAGGGAACCCATATTATTTTGTCATATTTTTGATCTTGAAGAGAGAGAAGCTCTAGGAAGAAGAGAAGGAGTTCTTGAGAGAGAACTAGATTTCCAAGCTTGATCCTTAGAGTTTAAACCGTTGGATCCGTATTTTGAGGTTAGATTCTTGATCCACTCTTGTTGTTCTTTATGTTGATCTAATCACATTGCATGATCTAGCATAATTCATGAGCCATGCATTGATTTAAAGTTTTGTTTTAGAAAGAAAAAGTGATGTTCTTATGGTCTTGAAGAAAAACCATGTTTTGATCCGAAAGTTTGTAACAAGTTCTATGTTTTTGTGTTTGTTTTCATGAAATCTCCAAGTATGAGTACCCAGGTCCATGTTTTTGAACTCATAACATGAAATCTCAGATTTTGAATAAGAAGTTATGATTTTAGCATTCATGTTCTTCATGTTCTTCAAGAGGAAACCCAGATTCCCAGACTTCATTTGTCTAAGTGTGGTCGCTGAGACCCACTCTTGCCTAGATCTCACACCTAAGCCAAGCATCGCATCTCACCTTGGCCTACTTTGGATGATCACTTGCACCTTAGCCTATCTTGCATGCACACCTAGGCCAACCATGGTACACCCTTGTCGGCACCTTGTAACATCTCGGCAGGCAGCCGCACACCTAGGCCTAGGAGACCACACCTCGGCCAAGAGGCGTACGACCTTGGCCAAGACTCCCTAAGTTCACCCAGCTAGGCCATTTTAGCCTAGATCATCTCTGTGCATCCATTCCGAGACCTGGTTGGTACCTAGCATGTTTTTCCAAGAAGAAAAATAGTGTTTTGACTCCTGGCATGTTTTCCCTAGAAGAAAAACAGTGTTTTGACTCCCAGCACATGTTTGCTTTGTCTTGACTTGGTTTTGGAAAGAAATGTCAGATCATTTTGATTCATGTAAAACTTGTTTTAAGAATGCATTGCACAATCATCTTTGAGCATTCTTTCTTGTCTTCTTGAAATGCATTCAATAGACTTTGCTATATGATTGTAGGTCTTGGATTCTTGCCTTAATCCCTACATCCGAAGAACTATTGTGAGTGGTATTTTTAATAAAGCTATGTTATAATATTTTGATAAAAGCTTTATTTTGTTTTGTTTTGGAAAAGTATTTGATCAAGTATGAATGATTATCCCTTAGTTTTTGTATCAAGTATTATGTTTGTTTTGATGACATTCTTGGAAAGTCCTTAGTGCTAGGGGACTATAATGCAACTAGTACCCTTGTTTGAGATATCTCCCTTGCCACCAACGGCCTTGTATGGGTGGGTTTGTCTAATCGATTCCAGGTCGATTATTCCCTTGTTTTGTCAGGAATGTCATCCCTTGTATTATGTTGATGCTAGTAAGCATCCCTTAAAGCTTTGAAAGACTTTGATAGGTGAACTTGGTTCATCCCTTGATTTTGGACAAGCTATGATAAGTACTGTTTTGATAAAAATTTCGAATATCATTCATTCAAACCTTTATTACTTATATCAGTCACTGAGTATCCAAGCTCACCCCCTCCTTTATGTATATGTAGGTGACGTGCAAGAAGGCGTTGTTGCCTAAGCTTTGTTTGGAAGATGTTTTGATTCATGTTTTCCTAGCATCTTGAAGATTATGCTTCTTAGTTGTAATTCATGTCTTTGTATATTTCAGCTTAAGAAGCCTTTTGATCAGGATGTAATATGTACTTTATGTTGTTTTGTATTCATGTTGTAAAACCATATTAAGATTTGTGTCATTTTATTATATCTATGCACAGCTTTTATGGACTACTTAGATTTAAATTTATTGCTTCCGCATATGTGAGCCCTATATGTATACTCTGATTGTGTGAAACTTTGTAAGTTGGCGTTTGGTAATCCCGGATTACTGGCCATCATGGCACCATTCTACTAGGGGCGGAATGTGGTCGTGACATTAGAGGTGGTAGGGCAAAACGTTGGTGTTGGCTACTAGAGGCATGAAATGACTATGGTAGTTTGGAAGTTAGGGTTTAGAATGGAAACTGAGGGCATTTTGCGAATAAAAAGGTATGTATTGAGTGAAAATTAAATTTTTAAAATTATTTAGTGTGTATACTGAGTAAGAATGTGCACAAAGAAGAATAGGTGTATGAAAATAGAAACTCCCAAGGTTGAGAATGAGGGTATGTACCTTTTATTCTTAATGGTAATTTATTTTTCAAAATACAATCGTAATTTTAAAAAATTTTAAAAAGTGTACATTGAGAAAAAAATTTAATGTGAAAATATAAGCTCCTCGTGTGTATGCGTATGGATTAGTAAGGATGGGTAAGTATCGACCCTATCTGTTAAAGTTGAATAGTCTGAATTAACTCGACACAAAATGAATGATTTCAATGATCCGAGCGGATGGATATAGATACATTTTTTTTTTCAATCTGATTTGCCAACACTTCTAAGAAAATGAAATTATATTTTTATGTTTTGTGTTAAAATATAATATTTTATTTAATAATTATATTTACTATTTAGGAAATATGAAAGTTATGCCTTTATTTTTAGGGAGGTTCTATTTACGCACACACATTCCTCTTTTTACACATCTTTCTTAATTCACACACCAAAAAAAAAAAAATTTACTCAACACACACAATTTTATTCCAGTTTCCCCATACACACACTTCCAATCCACACACTTTCTTCCACACCAGCAAGCAACGATCAAACCCTAACCCTAGGTAGCAACCACCTTGCCGGCGGCGACGCAACACCGATGACGTACCGCAACCCCCCTCTCTTTCTCTCTCCTCTCAGTCGCGAAAAGGAAGGCGACGACGACTCGCAGACGAAAGGCGATGGCGACTCGCAGACGAAAGGGGGTTCGGATGTTGATGGTCGAACCAATGTGTTTTGTTCGGATGGTGATAGTCGAACCAAATTCATTGGTTCAATGGTTGATTTCCGAACGGAGGCAATTCCTTCGACACTGGTAGTTCGAATGGTAAGAAAATGAGGCGATTCCACGATGCCCGACGTGGTAGGAAAGAGAAGCGGTAAGGCAATAGGTTCGCAGATGAAAGAAAGTTGCAGTGGTGGAGAAAGAAGTAACGGCGGTGGAGGAAAAGAGAAGCGGCGGCCATGGAGGATGGTGGTGACTGATTGTTAGGGTTAGGGTTAGGGTTAGGGTTAGGTTTTTGGACTGAAAGAGATAGGGGTTGGGGGAGAAGAGAAAGGTTATTTTGGTAGTTTCATTTTAGGACTGAAATGTAATAAAAAAAATTCATTAAGTGTGTATAAAGAGGGTAAATGGTGTGTGCAAATAGAGGCTCCCTTATTTTTATTATAAAAAATGAGCAATAAAAAATTTGGACGTAAAATAGTAAACAATTACTGAAAAATAATTTGAAGAAAGATAAAAAATCGCCAAACTAATTCATATTCATGGCCAACCTGCACGGCCTACTCAATCCACATCCTTTAGCTAAGCGGGTGGATGTGAATTATTTTTTTTCAATCTGCCTAAGTTCAAGCATATGGGAGATGAGATCATCCAACCCAATTCGATTCACAAACACCCTGAATGGATATTATTATCTGGGTTTTGGATTCTTCTTTAAATCATTATCTTCTAAGTCTCTCAGTATTAATTATAACAATAATTGAGACCCTCTTTTTTTGGAGACTCTCACAATCTCCTCTAGATCTCAACCATTGGTGGTGTGGGCCCCACACATACATGAGTAAGTCTCACACATACATCAATGGTTGAGGTACAAAGAGGATTGTAGGAGTCTCAAAAAAAAAGGGCCCAAGCATTTTACTATTAATTATTTTTTAAAAAAATTAAATTAATGTGATAATTATAACAATAATTACATTACAATCTATTTTCAACATCATAATTATTATTAAATTTTTCAAAAATAAATATAATAAAATTAGGATTAAGGAATATGAATCTGATTTATTTGACTTGGAGTCATCATAACCAAACCAACCATATCCACATAGTACATATTTTTTTTTTGATTCAAATATCCACATAGTACATATGGCCGCTACAACCATGATCAACATTCAACATCAATGAAAAAATATTAGAGACACAAATAATTTATTAAATATTTTATCAAATTTTTTATATAAATATGAGATTTATACATATATATTGGTGTGAATCTCATATCTACCTAAAAAATTTGGTTAAAACTTGAATAAATTATAGTATTTTCACAATTAAATATTAATTTATTTAAAAATTCTTATCAATCAAAATTTTTTGTTTACTGATTTTTGTTAATCAGATGTCTCAACTGTTAAATATCAAAACTATCACCACCATCATCGTCATCAGCACCACCTTGTTCTCTGCTCTCTTAACTTTTTCTGGGGGCTTTCAAGCTCTTGCCGCTTGGATCGGATCTATTATTATCTACCATAATCTACCCCAACCCCCTTTTCCTACGCCACTTGTATTACATATATTCATCCTTATTAACAACAACAAACAAACAAACCAACCACTTAAAAACATATTCTATTAAAAATATTCAAAAATATATATATATATATAATCCCACATTTTCCTACCAATTTTTCTCTCAGAAAACACGAGAAAATTTCATGTTCATGGCCTAAAACCTCGTTGATTCCGTCAATTGGTGGGTGTTCTTTGGTGGGTCGGCTTTAATGGGCAATGTAACATCGAGTGTGGCTAACAACAAACAAACAAACCAACCACTTAAAAACATATTCTATTAAAAATATTCAAAAATATATATATATATATAATCCCACATTTTCCTACCAATTTTTCTCTCAGAAAACACGAGAAAATTTCTTGTTCATGGCCTAAAACCTCGTTGATTCCGTCAATTGGTGGGTGTTCTTTGGTGGGTCGGCTCTAATGGGCAATGTAACATCGAGTGTGGCTGCGAAATTTGCATTCTTCCCACCTGACCCACCAACCTACGATGTGTACAGAGACGATGATGGGAGGCTTGTCTTCACGGGACTCACCGCAGACAAGAACGTTGATGTCCATTTGCTAGACACCAAGGGTGGGAACAAGATTGTGGCCACATTTTGGAGACACCCTTATGGGAGATTCACGCTTCTCTACTCTCATGGCAACGCTGCTGATTTGGGTCAGATGCAAGAACTCTTCATTGAGCTCAGAGCTCACCTCCGTGTCAACATCATGTGGTACTATTATCTTGTGTTTGTGTATTTGTCAGTTTGGGAATCTGGGTTTTGTTTGTTGTTGATGATATTGAAATGGGTGTTTGTGGGATTTTTCATTTGGTTTTTTTGGGGTAATGGGTGGTGTTGGTTTTTTAATGCTTGTTTGGGGTTTATGATTTTGGAATCTGAGTAATGTTTGCTTGTTGAATGACGTTGAAATGACTTGATTCTGGTTTTGTATTTTTCTTTTGTGTTTGTTGATTTGGTTGGTGTTTGGCTTTTGATATAATTGAAATGGTTGTATGTGGTGGTTGTTCTTCTATGTTGGGCAAAAATTGTGATTGATCTTTCATTTCCATTTGTCAGGTCAGTTGAATTGTTTGATACCTTCATTATTGTATGTTTCTGTATGTGCTTGAGGGCACAGGTGTGTCTTGTCTACTTTTTTTGTCCGGGTCCTTGATGCTCTATTTGTTGCTTGATTGTATATTTGTTGAATATCCTTTTCTGATTTGTGTGTCTCTATGTTCTAGTTTGAATTTCTGAAAACATGGTAGGTGGTTTTGTTTATATTTGTTCATCCTATGCTTTGTCTTCCCCATTTCTTTTTTTCTTTTTCTTTTTTTTCTTTTTTTTCTCTTCACACATGCATGTGTCATGTTATCGGTGTGTTGGTGAAATGGGTTAAATCCCTAGATTCTAGTTTTGGTTTGCACTTTCCAACACTTTTTTTTAGGTAGCTATATGGGGTTTGTTGCTATTATTCATGGTCTGTATTCTTGTCTATTTGAGTTCTAGTGGTGGATGTGCCAACAACAAAGCGAAAGTTTTGTTCTTTTTCTTTTGATTTTGCATTTTGGTCTCCTGGCTTGTTTCTTGCTTTTTCTTTTTCTTTTTTTCTCTTTTGCAAGGTTTATAACTGTTTCATATTTCTTTTCCCTGTGAAATGTACTGGGATAATGAGTCTATACTGACTGAAGTTTTCATACAGTCTGTGCAATGGAAGAAAGAAGGTTCTCTACGTATTTTTTCGGTATATATTGTCGTGAATTTGTTGCTTTAATGAGCTTATTATTCATATCAACCATTTGGATGAGTTTGTCTGAAAATGCTTGTACTTCTTTGATTATATAGGTTATTAGTCTGTAAAAATATTTGGTTAATACCTGTTTGGAATTTAACTTGCAGATTGTATGATTCTTCAGTAGTAAAAACCTTCATAGGGTGCCGATTCGATGCATTTAGTATTGACTGAGTACATTTTTCTATTTTGCAGTTATGATTATTCAGGGTATGGAGCATCTTCTGGTAAGGTAAGAATAATATGAAACCAATCTTCATATGGAGTTAATTTTTTAAATTGAATATCTAGAATGCTTTATATGAACTCATAATTACACATTAACTTTCCTATTCAAAAGATTCAGGAAAATAAGAGGAAAAAATAAATGAAAGAAAATTCTATTTGTTGCCATAATCTATTTATCCAGCTCCTTATCGCTCAAGGTGCTTTTTTCTTTTTTTGAGGGGCCTAAATCTGTTCCTGATTAGTGTTTACTGCTTTTATTCTGACAGCCATCTGAGTTCAACACATACTATGACATAGAGGCTGTCTACAATTGTTTGAAGAGTGAATATGGAATTAAGCAGGAGGATGTGATTTTGTATGGCCAATCTGTTGGAAGTGGGCCCACACTACACTTAGCTTCTCGTTTACAGAGGTTGAGAGGTGTTGTTCTTCATAGTGCCATCCTTTCAGGCATACGAGTTTTATATAACGTAAAAATGACATTCTGGTTTGACATTTTCAAAGTAAGTTCCAAGTGGTTTTTCTTCTATTCTCTTCTGTTCCATGTTTTGATTACTCAGTTTTGTATTAAGAGACCTCTGTTCATATCTTCAGAATATAGACAAAATACGCAATGTCAGCTGTCCAGTTCTAGTCATACATGTAAGTTTTACCTCACTTATCTTTCTTCATTCTTTACCAGAATAGTTCATACATGCCCATTTTGTTTTCTGCCAGTATTCATGTGTTCATTCTTAGATTTTGGTTTGTATAATATTTTAAATTGTTTCTGCAATATAGATCTATATTTATCTCAGCTTGCTGCTATTTTCTATAAGAATAACTATATTTCATTGTTTGATTGGTTTATTATGATTATTGTAAGCTATATTCCTCAAGTTTTCATGTTACCAAATATCGTGTGCTGTGTTGAGAGAACGAAGTACAAGGCAAGGAAATTTCAAAATTTTTAATTGAGAAATGATGATCCCTCATGATGATTTGTGATGTACATGCAATTTTAAGAAAATCTACGAGTATTGTATTTTTTATTTTTCGTTTTATTATGTTAACTCTGTAGTTGCTTTTGAGAAAAATGGGTGTATCACTATCCTTAGTGAACTTAGCACTCTGTTCTCGTTGCTTATATATTTCATTTCCTATATCCTTATGGCTAGTTTAGTAATTGTGAAAATGCTGCATTGACTTAATTTTTGAACAATTAAACTTGTGTGGGAAAGTGTTTGCCAAGGTTTCAGGCTTTAGCATTGCATTATTTGAAACTGGCAGTGACCTCAAACTTGTAGTTTTTCTTGATCATTGTGTTAATTATTATTTTTGTTATTATTATTATTTTATGTATTTATTTGTTTTTTGTGGGGTGCACATTTGTTCTCTTGTTTTAACTATGAAAATAAGAGTCAAATTACTATTACTAGTACCCGCATCAGGAATAATAAAGCACATTTATATGCTTACCCATGTGGCTTAGCTTGACCTCAACAAGATGTTACATATTGCTTGAGTTATTCTTTTGGTGATGGCACCATCTTCATTTGAGTGAGGTAATTAGTATTTGGAACTAATCAAGAAGCTGTGAGGAATGTTGATGGTTGTTCTGATTTAATTATGGATAGATGGGGAGCAATTTGGAATTGTCTTCTAAAGGGCCTGAACAGTCACAATCAGGAGAAAGAATATTGTCTACAAAGTCTAGTTTTTTTTTTTTTTTTTTGGGTTTTTTGGGCGGAAGATTTTAGGAAGCTATTCAAAGAGGAACATCAATTCATTAAATCTATTGATGTTATTGGTAAAGTAAGTGGAGAAAAATGGAAGCTGATGACGGATGATGAGAAAGCACCTTTGGTCTCAAGTGTGCAATTTTAAAGTTATCTGTAGATGGGATTAAAATTTTGTTGTTTAGGGTTTTAAAAGGGGTGTTGGATCTTTCTTTTGTACTATTCCTTTATTTTATTATTGTTAATTTTTCTTGATTGTGTAAGGGTTGTGCCCTCTGGACATGTTGAGGGATGAAGGTGGGCCAAATCTGCAAGAAGTTGAAAGAGTGATTCCAAAGGGAATCAATGGGGTTAGAAGTGATCAGTTTAATGGGGAGGAGGTGGGAATTGTGAATATTGTAGATATTTTTGGAGTGTGCATATATGGTTGTATATATTTTAGGCTAATTAGTTGTATTTCCGTAGTTAGCTAATTAGTTGTATTTCCGTACGAGTTGTATTTCCATAGTTAGATTTTAGGGTTTAGTCTTTTCTTATTTAAACTGATGTAATATTGCGTTAGAAAACAAGTTGAATATATAGAAAACTTACAAGAATTGCTAGGAGTGTTGAGAGTTGTCTGTCAGACTTCTATATAAGGGTGATTATTTGAATAAAGATTATATTCAGCTAGTGATTAACAAGATTAATGAGTTGGCTATTATGCTAAAAGGTGGTAGAAAAGTTTGATGACTGTGCTAAGAAGGAAAAAGGGAGGGGGAAAAGTATCCTCTAGGAAAGATAGGGAGCTTAAAAAGCTTCAATGCATGGTTGATCATGGACAGCATAGGAGTAAACCTTTAGTGGGGAAGTACATTGAGGACATTGGGTTGGCAGTTTGGGTGAGAATATTAGTGTGGGATTGTCTTCTAAAGGGCCTGAACAGTCACATTTGGGAGGAAGGATATTGTCTGAAAAGTCTAGTGCTTTTTTTTTTTTTTGGGGGGGGGTTGGGTTCTTTATGGAAGATTTTAAGAAGCAAATTCGAAGAGGTATGGAAGATTTTAAGAAGCAAATTCAAAGAGGAACATCCATTTTAAGAAGCAAATTCAAAGAGGAACATCCAGTCAAAAAATCTATTGTTGTTATTGGTAAAGTGGGCGGAGAAAAGTGGAAGTGGATGATGGATGATAAGAAAGCATCTTTTTTCTTAAAGGTGCAATTTTAAAGTAATTTTTAGATGGGATCGAATTTTTTTATAGGTTTTAAATGGGGGTGTTGGATATTTGTTTTGTACTTTTTCCTTGTTTCTTTTCTTTTTTCTTGATTTTACTAGGTTTGTGCCCCCTTGGCCTGTTCTCCAATACAATTTTCTTTGTTGAGGATCAAAAAAGGTGATAAAAAAAGGTTCTCCATTACTCTACATAATATTCCCACCAGACACTGTAAGCAGAAAGGGAAAAGTATATATTTGTGTGCAGGACACGAGGCTATTGAAGTATTGGAAAGGTTGGTAAGGGAAAATGCAAAGGAAGGTTCTCACTGGGGTAATCACAGCCAACCTTGAGCCCAAAAAAGTATGTAATTTATGGGTTAAGAACACTTTATCACCACTGATGGAAGCACCCGAGGTACTGAAATTGTGGTGAGAGTAGCTGAACTACTTAACAAAATATCTGGTGAATGCTAGTATGAAGTAGAGAAGATATGAGAAAGAAACAGATAGTATAAGGGAGAGATAGAGAAGAACAGTAAGGCTGTATTTGGGGCATGGGTTTGTGGAGGGAAAAGAAACGAGAAGGGAAAAGTGAAAAAAAATTAAGCTCTTTTTTTTTGTTTTTTTTCACTTTTCCCTCCACAAATCCAAGATCCAAACACAGCCTAAGGGTAGAGTAGAAACAGAGGAGACTAGGGAAGAGAAAGCAACAGCAGTAGGAAATGAAGCAGCAGCTGCAGCAACTGAGGAACAAAGCAGCAGCTGTATAGGAGAGACTGAAGAGAAACAAAGAGTAGGGAAGAAAGTGGCAGTAACAGAGAAGAACGAAGAAGCTGCAGGGGTAGGAAAGAGTGAAGAAACAAGAAAACGGAAGAGCAAATACAACTGCGAGAAAGAGAAAACAACTTGAGAAAGGAAAAGCATCAACCATGAAGTCTGGGAAATTTTTCAAATCAGCCAATCTTGAAAAAAATGTTTAGAATTCATTTAGAAGGCTGTCAAAACAAATGTGACAAGCCATCCAAAATAATGTCAAAAAATCTTTAAAAGCAACTATATAAGATCCTAGACATGATATTTTCGTTTAAAATTGAACAGTCTTGACAGTTTAAAAAATGAAATAATAGTTAGTCATGAACTATAACACAAGTGAATCGGTAGACATTTTGACAGAAGTTAATCGTATAATAACTACCTGAATAGATTTATGATAAGCTCTTTCCTACCCTGATCCTTTTGTCCTCTTATTCTTCCTATCTGCTGCTTCCCATACTACTGGGTAAATATTTATTTAATGGTTTTGGGTTTAGCATTTAACCTCTCCCTTTCTGGAAAGAGTTGGAGACCACCACAACTATTAATTCTTACAATCGTTGTTGACATAGACAAAAAGATGTGACCATTTTCGTATGTTTTAATCCAAATAATGTAATTTCTAGAGGAACACATGGGGCTGTAACTCGGCTCTCATCATAAGACTTTCTTTGAACACATGGCAAGTGAAGAGTGAATAAGATATGTGTATTTTTTTAGTCTTTAAAGTCATTCAAATTTGTGAAATTGTGAAGACAAAGAGAAGAGAATCAGACAAGACAGAGACTAGAGCGAGAAGATATAACTGGGCGGGTGTATTGTGTCTTCCAAAGCTCTTCACAAGAGAAGGATGGGGAGACAGGAGTAGAATTGTGACAGAGAACAGAAAGAAAAAGTGAAGTAAGACTGAGCAAAGCTGCTTGCAAAAGATTGAATAGTCGTAATTGTGGGCTGCTTTGTAGAGCATTTTGAGTACTTATAAAACAAGCATGCATTCAATTATTTATCTTTCCAGTTGGGCTATGTACACTGAATGATTGTTTGATCCTCTCTCTTAGAGCATAAAATTATAGCCATTGTTGTCACTTCTCTTCACAATGGTCAATAAACCAGTTTATAACAAAAATAGGGGTTCTGATGGTTGCATCTACTGAAAAGCATCTTTTTTCCCTTAGATCATCAAAAGATTTAAAAGAATGAATTGCATTTTTCAACCCCTCAATAGATGCAAGTGCATAGTCCGTGTTTAATGTTTCACTGTGATGCCCAATTTTACCAGTCTGTAATTGCCTCAATAATACAAAGACTCTTAGGTTCATGCATCCAAGTGAGGAGATAGTGTAGTCTGCAAGTCTGACATCTTTTGTCTCTTTTCCAATTCAAGACAACTTTGAAAAGAAAGGCGTTCTTCTCATCTTCCTACAACATTGAACGATCCAAATTAGAAATCTTAAGTCTTTTTAGATAGTGAAAATGCATTAGTGAAAATGCATTAATTTTTTACTTAACCTTCAAATTATCAAGGAGTAGTTTTACAATCTTTGGAGGATGAAGATGGGTGAATGGATGTGTAGCCAAAATAAGGATGCTAAGACGGGTGGCTGGAAATTACATACATGATTGTATAAGATATGATTGCTTTAATGGGATGTTAAAGGAGGTGCTAATCAGGGATGATAGATAGAAAATTGATAAAATGGTTGGGCCATATGCTATCTAACAAAGCACTAATCTAATGGCAAGAGTAAAATAAGATGAGAGGACATAAAAATCGTGGGTTGAGGTGATTGGAAAACATAGCTTGTCAAGTATTTTTTTTATCTAAAAGAAAAAACTTATCAAGGATTTAGTTTAGATTTTTTTCGTTAATAGATTTAACTGAGAGGTATTGCTCTATGCATAACTGAATGAAGATAAAATTTAATTGTATTCCAAGTAGTTGGTGAAAGGTGGTCTATTACTGAAAGGAAAGGAGGATTGTAATCACTAATCAGTGGACTGAGAGTGAATACAACAGTTCAGACAAGCATTGGTTGAAGATGATGTTAACCATACAAGTTGCCAATGTTATTTTGAATTCCTTGACAAGCGTACCATGTTTATCTGCAACAATATTTGTGCTGTTAATACAACTTGGTGAAAGTGCCGATACATATTAGTCCCTCGCTCAAGATTCTCTGCAGATGCTACTCTGTTTATCTTGTTCTGCTGGTTTCTGAATATAATGAACTACTGATGATCTCCTTAGTCACTACCAAATGTTACCTTTTCCCACCAAGTAATGGTATCTTCTCATCATTAAGTGAAAATGGAATTGTGCTCACACAAATAATTGATACAGACCTCAACATACTAAACCTGACACTGTCATGCTGAGATGTCATGCTCTCTAGATCTCACTAATCCCTTGTGCCACTGCAATTTGCATAGGAGTCTAGAATAAAGAAGCTACATAAGACTGTAAATAGCCTATAATGTGTTCCCAATAAAATGATGTTATGAGGGCGTCTAATGCCGTCAATAAATAAATATTGGATTAATTACATTTTACCTCCGAGATTTACCTCCGAGATTTACCCTGAAAACACATCACCTCCTTAAGGTTTAAAAATATACACAACTCCCTCTTTATTTGGATTAAAGTGTAAAATTAATGGAATTCAATAAAAATACATGCACTGTTTGTCTGTGTAGAAACTAATAAAATTATCTGCTAAAATGACAATTTTATCCTTCACTACACTCCCCAAAATTTTTACACTCAAACTCAAAAACCAGATAACCCATTTACATCAAGTTAATGTTGTACAACAGGTTGGATATCAAAAATCATTGATATCTCAGTTGGCACTAATGTTGTGGAATTTGATCATCTCTTTGAGAGGGCGTATTCACTGATAAAATCAATACTAAGAGCAAAAAATGGCTTACCAGTAGGAAAAGCCCAATATTGGCTTCCTGAATGTCTCACTTTCTCATATCTTTTATTATATGTAAGTATGTAGGATGCATTCAAGCTAAAACAATAGGGGTGTGGGGTGTGAGAGTGAGGGGTGTAGCTGTTGGACATGGGTAAGTGGTGGTTTCTGTGAAAAATAGTTATAGAGTTTGGATTTGCTAAAGTTGAAGATCTCAAAAGTTAGCGCATTATGGGACTAATTTGTATTCATGTCAATGATCTTGTTCATCTCATATAATAAATTGAGAAGAACATGAGTGTAAAAAATTAGATTGATTAGACATAAATAATCACATAATCAATCACATATAAATTATAACATATGGACAGTCTATTTTTAAAAATATGTGAATCCTAACAGATAAAAATGATCTAATAGTATGACAACCAATGTTGGATCAACTTAATTTTTTTGCATAGATAATTTTCTTAGTTAGTTGTATATGATGAACAGTTTATATCACCAAAGTGAGTCCAAATTTATTCGTTAATGGGTCAATTTCATTGTGAAGTTGAGATTTTCAATTTTAGCAAATCCAGACTTGTGGGCTTGGAGATTTTCAATCATGGTGGCCAGTAATGTGGGCATGGCAGTTGATGATGGCAGCATAGAGAAGAAGCGGGAAATTTTTTTTGGGAGGAAATGGTAGTAGAGACAGGATGTGGTGGTGGTATGAAGAAAAAAATTAGAGAAAAAATATTATTATCTAACACACTATACTCATGATATTTATTATCAATTAGCTCACTTCATTCTTTTCTCCGTTATACTTATTTCCCAAACTTTAAATAATAGCCTTTGAAAATTTAGAGTTTAAGAACATTGAAATCAATTGATATTTAATATTTGCGCACCATGGATGACACTCGGATTATTGGTTTCGAACAATACAACAATGAAAATGTCAGTTTACTACGTAGCTTTTTGGTTTTTTATTTATCTTGGTCATATAATTGTTGAGAAGATAACTTTGTTTCACGTGTTCAGATAACCAGAGTTGAACTTTTACAATATTCAATTATTTATATTCAAACGAAACTATTTTGTTTAAATTATTAAGGTTGACCAAATATTAAATGTTCATACATAAAAAATTGAACAGATATTTAATGTTCAATTTATTATTTCCAAGCAAACAAAGCAACTTTTCATTTAATTTTTTTTAAAAAAACTTATATTTTATGTTATGTTTGAATTTTAATTATGTATTTTTTTTTCCTTTTTGTCATTTCTTTTTTTTTTAAATCTAGAATTTAAATTATTTCTATTTTTAATTTGATTCCTTAAGAATTTCATTTCTCAAATTTAATTCAATTTAATAATTTAATTTATTTTTGGTATTTTTTTTTCTTTTTTACAAAGAGTATATGTATTCAATATTTTACAAAAAAGAAATAACATATAAAATTTAAGTCTGAACAAGTTGAAGTTGTTCAGCATATAAAGTATGAACTTATTTATTTTGTTCAATATAAATATTTTGAACATATTCAATTTTTTCAATTTTATTTTTTGGTACAATAATATTATGTTCAGACAACTAGAGTTGAGCCAAACTCAAAATAGAAATTGTTATGGAAGTTGAATCAGTAAACAAATCAACAGCAGATAAAAAAACATATTAAGGTGAGAATCAAGAGTGAGAATCGCAAATCTTTGGAGATCTTCAACACCAACAAAGTGAAACAATGGTGAGATGACGACGACAACGATGGAGATTTGAAACGACAACAATGCACTAGTGAGCCACCAACGAGACGACAACGACAACGACAACGATGAAGATCTGAAACAATGACAATGCACCGGCCGAATGAAACCCTCCATCAGCGATGGAGATCTTCAGCACCTACAATAGAGATCTCTAGTGTTCTAAAGATGAAGATCTTTGGGTGTAGGTTGTGGTGTGTACTCAAACAAACAGGCGGTGTGTTGCCTTAGGATTAGTAATAAAAAGTTAAGGTGTGAACTAAGATATTATTAAATTCTAAAAATTATTATGTGTGTTCTAAGTAATGGTGTGTATTGAGAGTATTAGTGGTGTGTAAATAGAATTTCTCAAAAAAAAAAAGAAGGTTAATGGAGTTGGATTTTACACTTTGCCCCAAACCACAAAGGGGGTTATATGTCAATTTTTAAAACTGAAGGGCTAATGTGTTTTTGAACTAAACTATGAGGGGGTAAAGTGTAATTAACCTATAATTATGTCCCCAATTGGACTGTGATTTGAATTCACAACCTGTCCTTGAGACTGTCATTTTTATCTATAGTTGCCAAGTTTGCAGTCCATCAGACATTATTTTGACTTAAAATGTAGGTGAATTTACGGTTGGTTGTATAATTTGATTGTATATATATTCAACTACTCAGTTGTTGTGATTGGTTTGAAGTGATGTATGGAAGCACATTATTAGCCTAGTCTGGAAAGCAATTTCTAGCGAGTAAACACAAGCCAGTGCTTTGATTTTGGATGCGAAATCTTTGTGCTGAACAAAAAAACACCTTGATGTTCTTTTTGCTCTAATCACAATAGTAGTAGTAAATTTAGATTAATTGATACGGGTATTCTTCTACCAAAAACCTCCTTATTCCTACATCATGGTTCCAATATTTTCATTCCAACTAGTAACTTGTGTTGGTTTCAAGTCCTAATCGGATGCTGTTATGTTATTTTCCCTTTCCGTTGAATTCTTTGCAGGGAACAAACGACGACATTGTTGACTGGTCCCATGGAAAGCGATTGTGGGAACTGTCGAAGGAAAAATACGACCCATTATGGGTCAAGGGCGGTGGTCATTGCAACCTCGAAACTTTCCCTGAGTACATTAAGCACTTGCGCAAGTTCTTGAATGCTATGGAGAAAGTCTCTTTCAAGAAAGAAAGCAAGTCACGCCATGCTCCTACCACAAGTATAGCAGAATCCAAACACAACAAGTGCTTAAGATTTGGACTAAGATGACTCAATCATGTAGTGAACAGAGATAGCTAGTTTTTTGCAAGGTGTGCTTTTAGTGGAAAAGAGTATGCTCGCTTGATCAACCCAGAATTCAGCCACGAAGCTCACTTGGCTCTTTATGTTTGTTCAAGGCTGTGATATGATAAAAGTTACATATTTTTAGCCTATTTATTTCAGATCTTGCTCAGTCAACCATTTTTTAAGGGGTAACTCTTGCTGTTACCTTCACGGTCTGATTGGTAGCATGTTCTTTTGTCAGAAAGCTTTGAGATTATCGTCGCCTGACTTGATCTGAATTTCATGTAAAATAAACAGAGTCAAGGTTCATGTAATGTACAAACCATCACTGGTTAAAAGAGTAATGGAAGAGCAAATATTGGGCCAGTTCATGTCTCTTTAGAATTTTGGTATTTGCAAAAAAAAAAAAAAACCACGCGCGCACACACTTTATGCTTGCTATTCCATTGTCTTAGGCTCTGTTTGTATGTTATTTTGAAAAATATTTTTCATAAAAAATACTTTTCTATATTTGATTGCAATTTTGAAACTAATGTACTAGTAGTTGTATTAATGGCGGGGTGGCGGTGACAGGAGTGGTAGTGGCAATGCAATGTGGTGTTGGTAAGGTTTTAATTTGAAAAACATTTTTTGCCTTTCAAAAGTGGCTAAGTAAAAGAATTTTGAGAATGAAATGAATAAGGTTAAACGGAAATATTTTATTAAAAGATCACACTTAAATTAATTATTTTTCACCTAATTAAAATTTTGAAAATCAGGACGTGACAAGGTAAGGGGAAGAGGTGGTGGAAGTGGTGAGGGAAAAGAGGATGTGGCAAGTGGCGGTGGGGAAATAGGTGGCGGATATGCACAATCAGTTGTAAATCACGTGCATCAATTGGACTCTAGTGGTTTGCATTTTTGTTTTATTTTCAGACCTGTTCAAGTATAACCTTGAATTGGAGTCTCCCTGAGTGTTTTTATGAAGCAAGGACTGATGTAAGGCCCTAGACCTAATTAAACTGGCATTTTCCAAAGCATATCACTTGAAATCTCATGTAGTTTGCTGCTTCCCAAGAAGCAGGGCAGGGCTATGTGTAATTCAGTGGTGTCAATTGACACCACTGAACTTTCAAATTTTGTTTAAATATATATGAAATTTTGTTTAATAGTTTTAGATTTTAACAAAATGACCCCAGTGTTTGGAACTATTTATTATTTAGTGGTGTCAATTTTAGCTCAGTATTTGTTCTTTCATTTACTCCATCAACGCTTCATTCTCTAACAACCATTGTTGCATTGCCATTGATGCATTTCTTCATTTGTTCTCTCTCTCTCTCCCTCTGAATGACGCCACTGAGGGAATTCCTGGCTACGCCCCTGCCAAGAAGTCACTCACTCTTCCTCGTCATTTCCTCTCTCAAGTTCTTTTTCCTCTCTTCAATTTTGTTTCATTTTTCCCTTTTTGGCCCCCTAGTTATTGTATCGTAAGTTTTAAACCTGCATCTCTTAATGTAAGCTTCTCTCCTTTAGTCTCCAACAAGAGTATGTAACCATAGAATGAGCCTCTCATATGTTTATTTAGATTCGTTTTGTTTTATGTTTTTGTCAATGCTACTACTTCATCAACACTACAACAAGCACAAATTTCCATGATGTTCATTCTCAATTTGGCCACCATAGTACATGAACCTAAAGAAATACACTTACGCACATAGAGTTAGAAATCACGCTGCAGCGTGTCAAAGAAGCATATTATCAGCACACTTGAGTTAAAGAATGGTTGCTGTTAGGACCCATTAAAATTAGCCTCTGCAAGAAGAGACTGGCAACAGTGATTGCCATTGAAAGAATGGTTGTAGTTAGGGCCTAACCCAAAACTTCGAAGTTAAATCACTACTCATCTTCCATGCTTGGTAGAGCATTGGAAAAACAAACAATTCATGTTGTTGAAGATCTGAAATTTTTAGCATGACTAAGTTTGTAAGGTAATGCAGAATACACATCAAAAGCTAAATCATCAATTTGTGAATAGCACAAACAAATAAATGATAAAAATTATAAATAGAGGTTTATGATAAATATAAATTCAATTTTTTTTTTTTTTTTTTTTGGTGGTTATGAAAATTACAATTACCCCCTTATCAGCCACTGGTGTTAATTGAGACTGTAAAAGGAAAAAAAAATGTGTCTCTTATATGTATAAAATAATTTTTAAAAAAAATCTTTTTAATTAAAAAAAATATAAAGTATTGAGTAAAATGGGTATATTGGAAAACAGAGCTTATATTTCCACAATACATTATCTTAGTTCACACAATGTTCAAAGTTTTTGTTCATAAATTAATATCTGAACAATATTATTTGATTTCCAAACCAAAGATACAGTTGAATCAAATACTTCTGTTTAAATGTTGATTTCTGAACTATATAATTTTATTTGAAAGTTGATTTCCGAATAAAAAGATGCGTATAGTGAAAGGAAACCATGCGTAGAAATAGCGGTCTCACATCATTCAATTCTGTTACCTCATGGTTGACTGATGAAGGGAGGAAATTGCAATGTCATACTAAACCTCAAGGGAATGGAATGTAACTTTCAGAATCACCGAATCACCGAGAGTAATTTGTATTTTATACAAATCTCGGGAATATATTTCTAATTTATCAGGGGGGAAAAATGATATTACGGTGTACAAGTAGCAGCCTTTCTTTGACCAGGGAAGAACAACCAAGAAAAATAATCCAAACAAAAAGGAAACCGAAAACAAAACAGACAAGCAATGGGAAATGGTAATCTGAAAAGAAAGCAAAACAAAACAAAACAAAAACTCAACTTAACAAACAACATGAAAAGAAAGGAAAATAAAATTAATCATTTTGACAAATATGGAAAACAAAGGTTTGAGTCCACACACACACACCCACCAACCGCCCCCCCTCTTTGCCCTCCCATTGCTTGTCAACTCGGACTAAACCCACAAAAATCAAAATAGACCGAGGGATTGATTTAGTCGAGCTCAACAAGCTGAGCTCTTCTCTCTGCAGCTTTCTTCCTTATAAATATCCCCCATCTCAGAGCAGCTTTTAACTTAAGCCATCCTACAACAGCCTTTCCCGAAGTTCGTCCACGCTCTTGTCCATATGTCTGACCCAACTGATGCTCATATGGGGCATTGTAAGAAAAACAAGCCTCATCAGAATGGCCAAACGTAGAACCAATTCCCATGTTGAATGTCTTTAATAGCCTCTGCATGTCATCACTCTCCAACATCTCCGAACTCCTTGATCGGATATCCTCAGAGAAGAAGTCTTCAAATCCGTGCCCATCCCTTGGCCTTGACCATTCTACCGGAAGATAAGAACCACCAAAGGCCGACATTCCAACCGATCCATAATCCATGGTGCCAGCTAACTCAGCTTGTGGGGTAGTTATCGCCATTCCCGCCACTGAATCAGACCTTATGAATGGAAATTCAATCAACTGAGAGTTTGAAAGGTTGTTTTTGGTTTGGCATTGTGGGCTTGGTTGAAAGGAGATACACTGCTGCTTGTTCTGGGTAGTTGTGACATGATTGTGTTCGGATATAGCGGAAGCTGAGGCTCTTGTTTCGTTCTTTCCAATGGATAGAGAGTTTAGGACTTCACCATCATATTCTACAGCTTGGTTCCAATTCTCATATGCTCTCTTCACCAGAGAATCCACAGAAATCTGTTAAAAAACATACAAATGAGTTAGCATGTTTGACTAACTGAACAAGTCAAATTCACTGTCTGACGGGCATTAACTTGACCAACTTCCACAACGTTTTATACTATAATACTAGAAACAAGAGTCTATAACTCATGGACACAAGCAAGTTGCTGGTCCATCCAACTCATGGACAAAAGCAAGTAGTTGGTCAATCTCTGTTCATAGCATCCAAGCATCGCCTAATCTATGCAAAGAAAGGTGATTATCATTCTGCAAAAGGGTCACCTACGAAGCATGGAAACTCCAAAACAGGTTCTGTAGCGGTGTCGGAAACACCAGGATCACTGCAGACACATACATGGCATGCCCCTTTATTTAATTTATTTGTTTTTCGGGGACACTAGTTTTCTCTCTTCTTTAGTGCTTTTGATGGATGTTGGATGTTGAATGTTTTTTTTTTTTGTCTTTTATATGGATGATCTATTAACTATTTAAATCTAGTGGTTTTTTTTTTTTTTTTATATTGAATTAATGGTTTTTCTTAATTTTGATTGTTTGTGGACATAATATTAATCTACGTAGACATAAAAATATATCTAAAATTATTTCTTTATTGTGGCGTCTGTGTCCTCATTTTTTTGACATCACCATGTCCTGTGCTTGTTAGGGGGCCATTATTCCGTGTGTGGGTGCTTTTCTAAGCATTCTTTCTGCTCGACTTCAAAGAATTCATAATGAATGAAAAGGAAGACGCTTCATCATAAAACATTCATCCAAATCCAACCTAAAATCGTATTCATGTTTTTTCTTCTTCTTCTTCTTCTTCTTCTTCTTCTTCTTCTTTTTTTTTTTTTTGACCAAATTTTCCATGCAATTAGACAAAGCCCAAGTAATTCTAGAAATCAATCAACTTTAATCATCTAAGAATCTAACTCCAAGATGTATCGTCTTTAAAATTTTTGAGAAGATGAAAACTCAAACCTTTTGATTTTGTGCAAGTGATTCCAAAGGGAAGAACTGCCCATCAGCAATAAGGCCTCTAAGCTCATAGATATCATTGAAGACAGCGCCCGTGCTATTCGTTCCATCTGCATAGTAAACATAAACCTTCCCACCCAAAGTACACGTCTTGGCATGCTCCACTGTATTCTCCCACATCCTATTTGACATACCACTCCCAAGAATCTACACCATAAACAACATACAAAAAAAAAAAAAAAATGACAAAAAAACAAACAATCAATTTTCTAAGGTAAAGATAATTATGTTCTTCAACACCGTAAAATAAAAAATGAAAAAGAAAAAACAGCTATAAAATTGAAAGCCCTTACATTTCTTAAACTCTGTTGATCCCTAACAAGAACCCTGAGAAAATCTTCAACAGTTATGATTTCAGCCTTGATCAATTTTTTATGCAGTGCTCCATCCTTTGCTATTCTATCCAATCTCCAAACTTCATCGTGCAAAGCAGGTGGGTAATGTTTCTTGTATACTACAATACAACAAACACTTCATTAACTTGAAAGCCATGATATCTATAGAACACGTTAAATTGTTTGCTAATTGTTTTGATAATGCATTAAACCTAAGAAGGAAAGACACGGACACGGGGACACGTGACACAATTTGGACACATCGCCACTAAAAATTTCAAAAAATATAGGCCACAACATGTGAGTGACATGAGCAAAATTTATATTCTTATTATTTATTATATGCATATATAAGGATGAAAAATCATTATATTACTATGTTATATATATGAATATTTAAATTAAAAATAATAATTTTTAAAGTCTGAAGGAGGAGAATTGATATATAAATTTACATTGTTTTTTGTTTTATCATTGGATTCCAAGTTATTTTATTAAAACTCATAATGTGTTTCATTTGTGTCTGTTGGGAAGTGTCTGATGAGTGTCATGTAGTGTCGGTGTCAGACACGACACATTTCCATCTTAGAAGTGTTCATGCTTCTTAGCATTAAACCCATATTTAAGTGTGTTAACTGAACTGCTCGAATCTCGTTAGACACCAGAATGATACATGCCCAAGAGGGGATAACACAATCACTTTGGAAATAAAAAAATTCAGTGATGATAAGATAGACCCAAGTGGGATAACATAATCATTTACAGTGATCATATTACTCTTCCTTATTGTTGCGTCTTCATTGTACCTGACCAAACCATATTAACCTATTCTCACTCAATGTCCTTGTAAAATCATCCAATTGATAAAAGACAACATAAAATGAGGAATTCTATCAAGGGGATTTGCAGATCTTCCTCTCCTCATGCCATATGCATGTCCCAACTCTGAAAATATCCACCATCATTAACAAACATTCCCCATGATGTTAGCAGACTTACCATTAGTTGTTTAGACATTCCTAACTACATGACAATCACCACTCAGGGCAAACTTAAGCAGAAAAATTTTCAGGTACAAGTGTCAATTCTTCTACAGTCATTACAATCACTAGGCTTTCGCAAACCTTTATATGCTAACAACTAGGGTGGAAAGGCCGTCTTAATTTTAGCAATAGAGTGAGGGCACCTTCGCAATGAACTGTCTCTTTTAATTAAATGAGAACATCTCTACTGTTACATGGCGCTGTGAACAGTGAATTAGCAGTTGATTGGCAACTTTAACAATTACAATAAAGATATTCCTACATCTACAATGTCATGAACAAAAACAATAGTAGCTTTGCACCCATAGCATGAACATAGTAACCGAATCTCCATGCTATTGAGTTGTGTTTGCAGAGGAAAATGCCCAATTTTGTTTTATTTTTAAAGACTCCAAAGCATGGAACATGCACAAGCATTCCAGCATGACAATATGCCATTAGATCTTGCAGACAAATCAAAGCCGCGAGTCCAAGTTAAATATTATTATATTGATTGATCTTTACCTCAAACTGGTTTCCACAACTTTGATTTGTCTGCCATTGCAAATTGCAATAACAAAGTAGCAAGCTTTTTGCTTAAATTAAAAACCAAAAAAATAAAAATAAATAAGGGAAGTAGCTAGTGCCGGAAAACTCACATTCTCCCCTATGATCTTTAACTGCAAAAGCCTCTGTTTTAGCCTCACGAACACGAACCCCGTCACAATTTCCAAGTGCAACCTTCACACCAAGCCTGAATTTTCTGCTCCTTATCCAGCTTGAATTGTCGGTGAAAATAATATCTCCTAGCGTTCCCACCCCTTCCTTGAGACTTAACTGTAGATCCCCAGTCAAAAGTGGCCTTTTCCCCTCACGCTCCTTTACTTCGTGGCTTTCAAAGTGCTCTTTGGTCCAATCATCATCTGCTTCCTCATTGAAGTCACCTTCAAGAACTACAACATTCAGTTTGGCTGCTGATTCTGGTCCAGTTTGCACTACATTGCCAGTGCTTGCATCTAGCAGGACAACATGGACGGCTGCTCCTTGCTCTCCCTCAACCTTTCCGCCTGTGAATAGGTGAGGTGGCATCCTTGTTTTGAAATGAAGCTGCAAATTTTTTCCTTCTGGACCTTGTATTCTTGGTGGTGAAGATCTGTTACAGAAAATGCGATCGATTACTTCGCACAACACTAAAACCTAAACAAATAAGTAAATCTGTAAAAAATTTCAATTCTAGTTGAAATATATATATAGCATGAAAATTACTTCTATTTATTATAGGTAATCCACATGCAACTGGCAACCAAGTGAACCAACTAATCTAGGTGTTTTTGTTTACCATCACATAGGTGGTCTAAGTTCCTATGGAACTCCTACCATTAGGATAGGCTTCAAATAAAAGATGCACGAGACGATCAACTTTCCCACACACACACACACGCACGCGCAGGCAGAAAATTCAGTAACATTATTTTTACACATGGCCTCACCCTTATTGTGGTAAGCCAATTTTAAATAATTCTTAACATCAAGAAACAAGTTGTGTTTGACTGTAAAAACCATTTCCTAATCAATTTATGAGACAGTTATACTCCAAAGTTGATGTCATCTCTGAGACATAATTCCATTATTTTCGTATTCAGTGTTCTCATGCAAAAACTCCATAAATAGCACATTCAACACTCAGATTTTCAGTTGCTGTTGAGATAGAGAATGATTTCGGTTGTGTTTCCTTGGTTTCAAACCAAAACCCTCCACCACCCAACCTTCGTGGTCATTCTTCTTATGTCTATTCTGGTTTTGGATTTCGATGTTCATCTCCTCCTCACAAGTTATGGTTGTATATCAATGACGAAATAGTCAGGCCTCGTTTCGCAAGTTAACATTTTAGCCAAAAAGTTACTAAAAAAGTCAAAAAGCCTATAACCTATACCAAAAAGTCAAAGATTCCCTTTTCTCTCTACTTTTTGCACTTTTTTTCGTAAAAAGCCAAAAAAATCACCCCAAACATACTAGTTTTTTTTACCTCATATTTTAGCCAAAAAAGCCAAAAAGTTACTAAAATACCTTGTTCCCAAACGAGGCCCATTGTCCTTCAATACCATTAGCAATAACTCTAACTATATGATGTTTTCATTGTTATTATAAAGCATCTTTTTCTTAAGTTTCACTAGCCAATTTCCACAAAATTGTCAATCAACTTGCTAACAACATAGTCTGCGAATGCTTTAAATGAGCCAAAAAAACACATAAAATAGTAAAACTAGTAATTGTTTATCAGCATCATAGAGATCTTGAATGGTAACAGATCAGAGACACTAACAACTGGCTCTAAATATGTGAACACACCTTGCAGCCAGCTGCGCATGGCCTAATTTTGTCAAAGCACGCTCCACTTCTTCACTTACCTGTTTTTTTTTCAATAAAATTTGTCCAATGTTAACAAATGTGGGAGACCTTACTATGTGTAAACAAAAATTCAAATGTGATTCAGATGTAATAAATTGAAAAACATCTATACCAGGTACAGTACAAAATTTACAAAGTTCAAGTATGGTTGTAAATACATACAAAATGTTTTTGGTTCAGCTACAACTTCCTAACCCAAACCTAAAATGGGAAAAGCTGGAGGACTAGATGAAATTTGGATCAAGTTTGAAAGTGTTTGGATGATGCAGGAACAGTTTAGTCGACAAATCAGTTTAACAAAATCTTAAATACTACAAGGACTTTTGTTGAATGGAGGAAAAGTACATTGGTTCCAATTTATAAGAATAGAGGTGATATTCAAAGTTGCACTGATTATCATGGTATCAGACCAAGTTATAACTTGTAAGACGTCATATAGTGAAATTTTAGGATAGAGTAATAAGCGGAGATGAATATCATGGTATCAGACCAAGTTATAACTTGTAAGATGTTATATAGTGAAATTTTAGGATAGAGTAATGAGCGGAGATGAAGCATAAAACAATATTTTCAAATTAAAAAATATGGAGAACAACAGAGATTTTTGAAACATAAGATCTAAAAACTTACAAGCATACACTACAGAGTCAAAAGAAGCACCCAAAAACCAAAGAGGCATTAGAACTCTTCTAGATTATTAAGAAGTCAAATTCGCCACTACTTTAGATCATTTGAGTCACATGGAATATACTGTCAAAATTAAAGCATCACAAATTTGTCTTTTTAATTGGAACAACAGAGAATAATTTAAGACTTTTAACACAAAAAAGTCTAGCATGTCTTCAAGGATTCACAATTTCATATTACCATCACTTGCTTAATTCAATATGTATGCAAGATTTGCAACTCCACTTCATTTTTCCATTAAAAAGATCTTATAGGTGATTTCACTAGCAATCAGGACACAAATTTAACTTAACACTAACAGAAGAGCAGTAGTGTCATAAGTTTTAACTTCATTTTTTAATCTTGCAAGAAACCAAATAAAAGAATAAAATGGTAAAAATGTGAACAATGCAACAATTACTTCATGGTAAATAAACTAACATAACTTACAATTCTGCGGAAAAGTGGCTCCAAAGATGAACAAAGTCTTTGCAAACTATCCACCTTCAAAGCTTCCAGAATCACACTGTGGGAACATTATACCACAAAAAATTAAACTGACCCAGAAAATTGATGTCAAAATTTGCATAGAGCATATTACACAGATAGAATATGTTATCCAAAACCAAGAATCGAAATCTCAAGGAAGTTTAAGCAGTTAGAGCTTATGACAAAGCCTCAAACACATTGAAACTATTTGTCAGTCAAAGTAGAAATAGTTAACGGCAGATTGAGACTAGAAAATACTGTTTTCACATTGGAGTTGCATCAGTACCACTTCCTTTGAAATGGCAATTTGTGAGCAGATTTGTTATTGCAAAACCTTGACATAATTTTCACTACAGTTCACATCTATTTTCTGATCATCGCCTTAGAAACAAGGAGATCCAATTCATAGCATTAATCATTATTCATTACTAAACATTGTAACTTAATAGTAGAATCCTGTCTTATGGACTAACACTGGCACTGAGTAGTAAAAAAAAAAGTTCAATTCACATTAAGATGTTATTTACGAAAATAAACTGAATGACGGAAAAATAAAATCAATATCTAAATAACATGCCATAATGCTAGGATTCCATATTGACACTAGGATTTATTTAGACACTGAATCATACCATATTTAACATTTAAAAATAACTCCCAACAATGATATAGAAAAAGACAAATGAATTTAATTCCAAAAAAAACGTATATTACCAATAAGATAGGGGAACGGGCCCATCATATCAAATGGGAAGTACCCCACAACCATCTTGAAAAATGTTTTATGACATTAAGTTTACTTTCATTAACAAGACTTTTGGATACATAAAACAATCTGATTTTGTCTCCACACTGCAAGGATTTCATTAATGTTTTTCAAGATCCCCCCACTCCTATACATTTGCATCTTATTTATATATAGGTTCCACGCATTTATCAGATATCATATGACTTTCATGATTCAAGTGAATGAGACACAAAAGAAAGTGTGGAATCAGTATTGAGTGATTAAAGCGATTATATTCAATAGTACAAAATTCAAGTGTTAAGTCGTACATTCTTTTCTGTTTAACAATCTCCAGATGAGTACTTTGCCACCATTTTAGATACAAAATATATGATGTGTGCTCTAACTCCATTGTACTCCCAATTTTATTTTTTTATTTTTTTATAGGCCTACTCATTTGCGATGGGCTTTTTGAGCCTGGCTTTTTAGCTATTTGACCATTTTAGCCTGACTAAAAAAGTTGTGTCTAGGATGATTTTTGGGATTTTTTGCAGTTGGATTGATGGTTGTGAGAAGAAAAATAAATAATTATGGTTTGGATGCGACATTTTATTATTAACTATTTTAGTTTTTTTTCATTTTTTTTTTGCTAACATAGCCAACAATCCACATCCCAAACAGAGCCTTCAAACTCCTAAAATGATCTTACCACTCCTAACCTAAGGCTATGTTTGGATCATGGATTTGAAGAAGGATTTTTGAAGAGAAATGAAAAGGAAAGGAAAATATGAAAAAAAATTAGTTTATATTTCATTAGTGTTCCCTTCCCATTTCTTTCCTTACCAAATCTATGATCCAAACACAGCTTAAATCTGTAAATGATATACTACAAGTCCATGACCTCTTTTGCTAAATCTATCAAGTAAACAGATTCAATAACCAATTCATTTTGCACCCTTTTATAGTTCATTTCTTAATTTTGCTTTCTTTTTTTTTTTAAAATTATTTTTAAATGGTTCTCCCAGTTTTTTTCCACAGTAATCACAGCTTAAACTATAACTTACACATACATTCACATGTTCACACTTGCATAACATAATATGTGTATATATGCAGCAAATATCAAACTTCTAATACCATAAATCCAAATCTGAATAGAAAATGAAAGAATCTAAGCAATACCCATGAACAGAATCAAGAAATTCAGAAGTAGAAACATTTATATACACAGAAACAGCACAACAAACCTAGCCAAACCCGGTAGCATTTGCTTCTTTAAATGAGGCATCCCATCATCTTGATCCTCCAAACTTTCTTCGTACACTCTCTTCTCCACTCTCCTGCCTCTAGAACTTTCCATTCTTAGAAAAACTAACCCACCTCCCTAGATTAGTTTTCTTTCCAGATTAAGCAAAAAAACCAAAGATTTGTTTGAAATTTCACAAACCCAGTTTAAAAAAACAACTAAATAACAAAGAAAGACTACTTTTCAAAATTGGGATGACTCTTATTCCAGAAAAAAAGGTGGAGGGGTAGTGATCTGAAAACTTTGGAGGAAAAAGAAAGATCTTTAGCTCATTTTGGGATATATAGATCTGATAACAAGAAGGCAATGACTTTGTGTGTTTGAGTGTAATTGTATAACACAGCTGTATTGAGTTTGCATTTTTCTAATTTTCAATTCATGAAAGTTTGAAACCGCGTTTTGGTCATTGTTGGGGTCTTTTGCTTGTGGGGGCACAAATAGTGTTTGACTGGTGGTGTGTCCTCACCAAAGAATACAAAAAGGTCAATTTTCCATTACAAATACATCTCAAGTTTGATTAAAATATAAATTATTTTTTATAATTTTAAAAATTATAAAAAATTTAATTTTATAATAAATCATTCTTTTTATTAATAAATTACCAAATTAATTAATAAATTTTTAATGATATTGAAATATGTTTCAATTAATAATTTAAATAATTTTATTATTATATAGAAGAGTAATTATGAATTTTATTTTTTTAATTAATTCTGTTTAATAAAAATTTTTAGTAAGAGGATTTTTATAATTTTTTAAGCCAGGGAGCAATTTATAATTTAAACAAATCTTAAAAATGTATCTGTAATTTACCCTTTTGCACTCTACTTAACATAATGAAGAGGATTAGGATATAACGCCAGATGCATGCTTAAAAATGTATCTGTAATTTACCCTTTTGCACTCTACTTAACATAATGAAGAGGATTAGGATATAACGCCAGATGCATGCATTCAACCCTGTTTGGATACTGAGAATGTAGTAGTTCCACTTTGGCATTACAGTAATCTTGGAATCCACTGGAAATTTAGTGGACAGACAATTTTATTCCTTTAAACTATGTTAAAACCACAAATTTATTTCTTAAATTATGCTACGACGTGTTTGTTAAGAGCATCTACATCAAATTAACTAAATTTTTAGTTAAATTTTGACTAAAAACTTACTTTTCTATTTTAGCTAATCACATTTTCAAATAAACTCTTCAACAAGCTCTCTATTTATTTATTTATTTATTCTTGCTTTATATTATTAATTTTTTTCGGTTACAGATTAATATTTAAGAGAGGGATTGTAGTATCCTTATCCAAAATTTTATAATAATGACAGAATGATACTTTTTTTTTTTTTTAAAGTAAATAATGATACTTTTACATCCGTTCACCATTTCATGTGTTACAATTATATTAGTGTACGGTGATTCTATTTACACACTATTAATACTTTCAGTAGACACTATTATGTAAATTAAATTTGTATTCTAATAATATCTTTTAACGAAATGAATATTAGGGACAACCTAAAGTGTCTTCTACTCATTCAAAAATTTCATATTTAAAAATATAAAATACTCTTTACACGCTATCATTTCTATATGGTTTAGGATTTTGACATATAAACATTGTACATCTTCACCATTAACATACATTCATGATATCATTCATTCTCAATTAGCTCACTTCATTATCTCCTCCATTATACTTAATTTTCAAACTTAAAACATTATTACCTTTAAATATTTAAGGTTTAAAAATATTAAAATCAATCAGTTTTGAAAATTTAAATACGATAGATGACACTGAGATGATTGGTTCCGATATAAATATTGAAAATATTGATTTAAACATGGAAAATGTTAGTTTATGACTTAACTTTTTGATTTTTTATTTATTACATTCGTATGTTAGAAAGATGAGTTTGTTCGTCGTGTTCAGATAACTAGAGTCGAATTTTTACACAATGTTCGATTATTTATATTTGAACAAATTATTACGATTGACCACATGTTTAATGTTTATACATAAAAAATTGAACATTTTAAATTACTTCGGTTAAAATAAATTAAAATTTTATGTGTTGTTCAAAAATAAAATTTTGAACATATGAAGGCATCGTTTGAGAAAGGAGGCTACTTTTTAGCTATTTTGTTATTTTAATTTTTGTATTTGAAAAGATAGATTAAAATTTTGTTAGATTATTATATTAAAAAATGTGTTTAAAAGGATATTAAACAATGAAATGAACAATGAAATGATAAAATGCCCTAAGAAGAGTATGTCCTTGTTGAATGACGTGGCATTGGCTTCTGACTTAGAAAATGTAAGGGTATGTTTGGTTTGTGTTTGAGAGATGTGTTTTAGAGATAAAAATTACGAAAACATGTTTGGTTTAGTTTTTTTTAAAAGATGTTTTGGAAAATTATTTTGAGATAGAGTTTTGAAAAAAGTGATTGATTTGATATGTGTGAGAGAGAGATTTGTTTGGAAAACTTGTTTGGTTTACAAGTTTTGAGAAATTTTTTTGGGAAAATTTGTTTGGTTTGATTATTTTTGAAAACTTATTTGTAGAGAAAATTTCTCAAAATTTTTTCAGAAAATCAAACCAAACGAGCCCTAAATGGGTTCCATCCATTGGTGTGAATCTCAATGCTCACAAGGGGCAATTTGGACATTTGACAATCTAAGTTGACAGTGCTGTCGAAGCTTCGTCTTTTTTGTTTGTATATGCTTTTTTGCTATTTCAGCTGTGATGCTAAAATAGCCTCTCAACCTAGTTTCCAAACTAGGGCTAAGTAAGGAATCCGTGAAATTCGTAATCCGATCTAGTCCAGTCCAATTTGATAGGTTTGGATTGGTTTTTTAAATCCGCGGTTCGGTTCCGGATTGAAGAATTAAAAATCCGTAGTTCACGGATTGGTTCCGGATTAAATCCCACGGTTCCGGATTGGAACCGATCCGGACCGTATACAAATAGTCTATATTTTTATTATACAACCTCCCCCATAGTATCTTCTCTTATTCTATATAAAATCTAAACTCAAACCTAAAACCGTATAATATCTTCTTTTATTACTTTTGTTTGTTAGTTTTAAGTTTTAATTTGCAATGGTCTAAATACTTATGGTGAAACCAGTTTTCTTACGGTTGTTTAAATTATAGAACAGTATGTCGTTATTATAGAAAAACATATTGCTATTATGGAACTAATATAGCGTTATGTTTATATTTTTATGAAATTCAAGTGTTATATATATATATTTTTGTTATTTAATTATGTGAATCTGTGGTCCTAAACCGATCCAATCCGTATTTAAATGGATTGGTTCGGATTGGTTCCATGATTTAAACGGATTGGATTGGTTCCAATTTTTCAGGAACCGTAAATAACAGATTGGTCCTGGTTTTATCCCAATCCGATCCAATCCGGACCATGTTCACCCCTATTCCAAACACTGTCTAAGTTTGTTTTAGTCTATATTCATGACTAATAATAAATTTGTTAAATTTTTTACACAATTTTACACTCACCCAATGTAGCAATGTTAAAATTAATTGTGTTGTTGATTACAAAAGTGAATTTGTTACAAAAGAGTTACGCTCATGTTTCATCATTTTCACCATTAATATACACTCATGAATTAAGGGTGAAAATGGTAATTTGAAATGATGATGAGAGATGAGAGTTCCACACTGATAATGAGGATCAATACTAGCAAAGATTGAGACCGAGTGAAACACTCTGTCGGCGATTTGAAACAACGAGACAACGAGATGAGATACGACAGAGTTCAACACAAACTATGGAGATTAACACCAACAAAGATGAAGACCGAATGAAATCTCCGCCGATGATGGAGATCGAGACTGAAGAAGATGGTATTTGTTATGAAGATTGTGGAGGTTTTTGTTGTATGTAGTGGTGAAGATGATGAGTTTTTGGTGTGTGTAATAGTGTGTATTCAAATAGTTAGTGATGCATTAATATAGAATTAGTAATGGAAAGTTAACGTATGAAATAAGATATGTTTAAACTCTAAAAATTATTTTATATGTATACTAAGTAATGATATATACTGAGAGTATTAGTGGTGTGTAAATAAAATCACCCATTAGTCTAATACTTCCATCACTTATATTTTATAATAATTTTATAACCATGCTATATATCACCAAAATAGTTTACTAAACCTCTTTACCTTCTATGCAGACTATTATGTTGATAAATTTCACTACTTATTATTAAACTTGGTGAGTCTTAAATAAATAAATAAATAAATAAATAAATATATATATATATATATGATTTTTGTTGCATCAATACATTTAGGAAGTAAAATAAAGTTGTGAAATAAAATTGATGATAAATAATAATTTTCTACTTGTTGAATAAAAAAAGTGATTGAGAAATAAAATATAATAATTATAACATTATTAAATATTTTATAATTTAAAATCATTTTATTTTATAATTTAAAATCATTTGTGGAGTTGTTTAGTGCTAACCATTTGAGCTCAACCAAAATAACTAACCAATTGACGAATTTGATGAAGTGCTCTTTTAATTGAGTTGGGCTATAAAATAGCTAAGGCGATGGTTTAGTGAGCTTAATGTGGATACTCAAAGAGAGGGTAATGTGACCTGGTTAATTGTTTAGGTGGTCATGAACTATATTTGTTTGGATAAATTGAATAAGGGAGATTGTAATGCAAATGATTATTAATCTTGGGATAAATACTTCTTGAACTATTTTGCTAGAAATTATGAGTATTCGATATTTGTTTTGTCATGAAATTTGATATCTGGAAATGGTTATCATAGTAAATCTCATGTTTAGTTAGGAAATTATAAAGAATAATAACTTCTCAAAAGATTATTTTGTCCTTTTGAATTACTTACAATGGTAATGTTAAATTTGAAATATATTATTTTTATTGGGACAATTACAAACGAAACAAAATAAATTATGAATTTTTAATTTTACAATTTAAATCCTAATATTGTGGTTTGTTTTCAATTTAAACTATTCATCTATTTTCGTTAAGTAAAGTTGACGGAAAAATAATATTTTAATCATTAAACTTAATATAGGTATATATAAAATGTCTAAAATATTATTTTTCATTAAGTTTAATAATTAAATACTATTTTTTCGTTGATTTTACTTAATGGAAATTAACAAGTTTAGGGTTTAAACTGACAAAATTAAAAATTGAATAAGGATCAAACCCTAATAATTTTTTTGGGGGGGTAATTTTTCCTATTTTATTTTATTTAAAGTATATTTTATTTTATTAAGATCATTTTTAATTTTATTTAAATACGACATATATTTTCATTTACGATTTTGCTAACATACACACACACACACCAAAAAAAAAAAAAAAGAAAAGAAAAGAAAAGAAAAGAAAGAAAGAAAGAAGAGGAGGAGGAGGAGGAGAAGGAAGAAGTAGTAGTAGTAGTAAGAACAGAGTATTATATCATAAGATCAATATGCACATGTTTTAAAATCCAACATGTTTAAAAAATAAAGATACAGAAAATAGAACTTGCATATTATTTTTCTTTTGAAGATTAGAAGCATATTTCCTTTCATTATTTTGCTAATATATCAACAAAAAAGAGAGAGAGAGAGAGAGAGAGAGAGAGAGAAAGAAGAAAGGAGTATATATTACCAGATTATTGGACCAAAAAAAGAAAACTATTGGATGAAATCTCCTTTTTTTTTAACAATTCAAGAAAATTATTTTACAAATACTAAAATTACATCAAACGAAGCAATCAATTATATCAAAAAAAAGTCTTATAATACATGCAACAATCACAATGAGGTGTTTTGAAAAGACAATTAAAAGTTACTTTTTGACTTTTTTTTTGCCTTTTTGTGAGAGAGGGAAGTAGGTTAAAAGTTGAGAAGTGATTTTTAATCCACTTTCCAAAATAGGCCTACGTCCATCATTCATTATATATCAACATAAAGAGAGAGCCCTATCAAGAAAGTACATAACAACAAAAAAATAAACTTGCTTCTCAACAACAACGACGAAAAAAAAAACTTCTAATAAGTAAAAAAGAATCAGTATTTGTTTATGTTAATAATTGACTCCTTAATCTTTCAATTCAGAGTCTACAGAATGGTCAACTGTGTTTGTCCAATTGTTTGCATCAAAACCCTCTTGGGTGAGCTGAATCGATACAAATGCCCATGTCAAACATTCTGTCCTACCTTTCTTCTAAAATTCAGACCAAAAATGCAAATATCATGCAAACTAATTATATTTCATTTTTTGTATGGTCCTTGAATCAATTTACATGGTCCTCATCATGATGAGTCTTATCTTTCAGTGACAAAAATATCTGGCTCGTCATATACAGGATGCTGTAAAATTATGAACAGACATTCAAAAGACAATATTGAAGTGATGTTTTGTATACCAAGTGATAGTTGACAACATGTGCAAATATGCCATAAATGGAGATTAATGATGCAAGCCATTTGAGGCCACAAAAAAATGAATACAAGCAGGAGAGAGAGAGAGAGAGAGCATTTGTTTGCTTTAACAAGATGACAAACCTGGGCAAAATTTGCTTGCACAAGTATGACAGAAATACAACTAATTTGAACTTTTATTCCCCTTGCCAACCCATTTGGCGGGCACGTCGCTCCCACAAGGAAGTTACTTTCTTCTCCTTGATCAACAATGCCTCAGAACGCTCTCTCGCCTGCTCACAAGTCTCTGTGGCAGCATTGCATTTTTCAGCTTCCCTCTGATACTGGGAAGCTACCCTTCTTGCTTCTGCAAAGGTAATGTTCATATGATGCGCATGCTCTTCATTTACTGTCTCCTGCAGTTTCATCTCCTCTGTCAACAGATCCACAAACTGCTTTTCCATCTCCTCTTTGAGATCTGGGTCATCTCCTCCACAGTCTGTTTATATCACAAAACATCATTTATGCGTAGTTGATCATGACTTCAAAAAATGTATCAAGTTCTCACAGATAGCACAAAATGAGAAACAACATTTTAAGGAGTGGAATGGAGCCTAAGTTGGCTGAGGAATATCATCAAACAATCATCTAAAATTATCACTCATACCAAATTTGTATCCACCAGAAAAGGCCATTTTCCAAATGTCCATGATATCATCTTTTTTGTTTTTTGATAAATAATGTTTATCATATAATCTTATGCCGAATAAAATTTAAATCATAAATATTTACTGGGCTCAAAAAAATTCTAAATATCAAAATCATGTATAACCTCTTTTTCTAGATTCATCGAAACTAAATCAATCGAACACACTTCTTACACTTCTTCCACTTTTGGAAGATCATGCATTATATTACAAGATCTCGAATTTTCATATATAATTGTAACTAATATGGGTGGCTCTATTCGCACCCCAAAAATTAAGTTGGGCAACCCAATTTAATGAAACATTTTTATTACCATTAAGTCCCTTTTTAAAATGACCAAAAAGTACTTGACACTAAAAAAAGTGTAAATCAAAGTGTTTTGGACACCCCATTCATCATTAGCCCCAATATTAAAATCAACAATAGACAATGAAAAAGATGTTTCCAAGCAGTTTTCTATAGGTTAAGAAGATGTTTCCAAGCAGTATTCTATAGAAGATGTTTCGTTATATTTTTTTGACAATGGACTATGTCCCTCATTATATTTTTTTGATTTTTAGAGTTATAATGGGTATTATCTGGGGTGTCTAACCAAATAAATAAATATTTAAATTCTTAATTGGGGTGTTCAAGTAATGGGGTGCCCAACCTAATTTTTGGAGTACATTTAGAGCTACATGTATCTCATTTGCAATGGATTTCCCCATAATGGCCATGTATCTCATTTGCAACAGAAATTTGGTAATCATGTTTTTGGCCACATGAGTTCATTATTTTGTGACTCTTGGATTTCACGATTTCACATTCTGATGTTGAATCAGTGGAGTAATATATCCATGACGAAAAAAACATAAAGAACCTAGATGGGGTCGATGATTATGAGTGCATTAGCAATTGCCTCGCTGATTTAATGGCATACAGGATCAATGGTCATCAGTGCATTAGCAATTACTGCTAAACACATTGGAATCACAGGGTAAGCTCAGCAGAATGCTTTTAACGATTTCCATAAACCCTAGATCATGTTTGTGATATATTACGTGTCACAATCATCCATACAGATAATTAGAATAAATATCTCAAATGAAAAAAATCCAATTCCATGTTAAAATCTTTTTAGTCCACTCAGTTTCAGCAGTTCAATCGCCCAATCTCTAAAGGCTTCTACACAAAGCACATCTTGAATCCAAAGTCACTCTCAATCTACAAGTATTCTAGAGAGACAAAGATAGAAGGAAGACAATCAATCACTAGAGTGCTTCTTATGAGAGCTCTTCCATTTGTAGACCTTGACTACGTTGTCCCACAAGAATTAGTCTTCCTTGTCACACACCAAAAAAAAAAGAGGTTATATCACAATCAGTTTGTAATTGCAATCAACCTCTTAATTTAGTCCCTAATTAACTCTTAATTGGAATTAACTCTCTTTATCCCTTAGGATTTACACATTGCCTTATTGTGTGTGACCTCTTAAGATAACACTTACCCAGGGAGTAGAAACAATATCAACTCTTGATATTTAATTAGATCTCTTTCTAATTGAATTAAAACCCCTAATTTCTCCCATAGAACTTTTCTTATGGGTTTCTACAGATCATGCTAACAGCATATTGTAATCACTGCAAATAGTATGAATATTCAAAGTGAATCCTTCAGTTAATTACCATGCAATTCAATCGTCCCATCATATAATGTCATGTGAGAGTCAATAGGGCATGTTTCAAACATCTAACTCAATCATATGTGGACGATCTAACTATTATCAACTCCTGAACTACTTTCTAATTTTCACACGGGCCAAGGTTTTTTACTCAAGTCATATCCTATTAGATCAATTAATTCTTCCTCTTACTTGAGAGTAATAGATCCTTTATTAAACATTCATATACCTCTATGTATGCCTCATTAAGCCCAATCAATGTGTTCAAAGTTAGAAGTTAGAACATGAATACATTGTATTGTTAAAGCATAGCAATGCACACTGAAAAAAACATGATGTTCTCAAGTATAAGGATTACATGCACAACTGCAAACCAATGAACATCTATTTTACAAATAAGTGGTCACATTCAGTGAACTTATTCTCTACACCCACACACATATTTGCTTTAGTGTCCCAACACAAGTGAGTCGAGACTATCCATGCTCTTAATTGAGCAAGCATAGCATGTTCTAGTAGCCTTCTGACACTGTACATCCAATGTTTTTCGGATCCCATTCCTTGAATACTTCCCTCATTTTCTTGAAAACAATCTGTTTTGAAGTCGTCCTATTCAAGGTTCCTGCATGAAATCGAAATCCTCCTTCACATTTTTCAACTGCCATAATAATGGTTTTGCATTCAAACAACCCCAATATTCTCTCTAAATACTTCTCTATTGACATGTGATCTCCAGTTTGTACAAATTAAGGTTCGTTTTAAGAATTCTCTGGCTGTCTCTTCTTGTGCATGTTTTCTTTCCCCTCTTTGTTTTTGTCTATCCGAATCACTAATGCCTAGTTAGTAACCCTATGACCAGAGAAATCTCCCCTTCTTAACTCATTAATAACACATTTTCTCAGTTTAAATCTGTAGACTGATCATGCAAACATTAACACAGAAAGTAATTATGATAATAAACAAACTTATCATTTTATTAATGAAATGATAATATTATATTACTGAAGTATCCCAACTACATCTCCCAAATTGGCTTTTAGGGCATACCACTAACAAAACACAAAAAAGATAATGGATGCAGCGTTGCAATGACTTTTGCTTCCAAGACTCAATAAAATAGAAAGAATTAGCCCATTGGATAGAAGTCGATAGTTTTTTTTATATAATTAGAGGCACCAAAGCTCACACAATGAATTAGGGTAGTCCATAAAGATGCCCAAATAAAATTCCTGGTTGTAGACCACTAGAAGCAAGAATCTTTCAGAATAATTACTTGGGCTATCAAAGTTCACATTGACAAATTCTGAATTGGAGGAAAACATAGCAAGAGATTAGATATTCCACTGGAGGTTTGCCTAGTCTTTAACTTCAGAGCCTCCAGGGATTAGTTCTCGGTTGTACAAATACAATGTAACTCGGGTCCAATTGGGCTAGGCTGGGCGGGAGATACATTGGATTATCAAAGAAAAAAGAATTATACGCCACTAGCCAATAACAGAGGAAGCAAATTTTAGCATCCAACCTATTTATCAAATAAAAGGCATATGACGTATTAACATGAACAACTTCTAAAACGATACTTGGCTCTAGAAGAACCCCTAGTTTCAACATCTAGATTAATTCACTAGTGTCCTACATAATCATCCATTTTAACACCATCAATTTATTAACTACCTTTATTATCTCTACATTAATAAACCTTTTAGCAACTCAAGCAAGGAAAGACTGTTAGATCCCAATTGCTTGGCACATATATTGTATTGCTTTAACTCTTATTTGCTCCCATCATTTGAGATTGGAGCAAGTGTATCTGCATAAAACATTACGTAAGTTAGGTCCTAAGAAGCCACAACTTGATGAAGCCTATGTATAGAGATGTGTAGGTGAAAAGGGATTAGAGGAAAGCCCAAAGGAGCATAGGTTTCTCCCTTTTCTGGTCCAAGTCAAAAATTGTTCAAGGACATTTTGCCTTCTTCGAAGAAAGATTGTAAATCAGGGTTCCACTTTAAGGTTCTGTTTGTTTCGACGTAAAATGTTTTCCTCAAATTTTTTTTACATATTTTTCATTGTTCGGTTGAACAAAAAGTAAGTATAACATTTTTTAAGAAAAATATTTTTCGTCATAGTCCCCAAGTGGCTTACCATTAAAAAAGTTCACTTCCAACTCAGCCCTTTTAGCACATTGATCTTTACAAAGGTAAAAAGGTAGCCCTTCATTGGCTTCTACCCAACGAATACAATATAAAGTTGTAGAAAATTTAATGTATAAAGAGAAATAGAGAATTGTATTATTGATTGATATTTATGTTATAAATTGCATATTGTTACTAGAAAATAATATATATATATATATATATATATTGTTTTTGTGCAAAATCAATTTACATGAAAATTGTGTTCGGGTGTAAAATATTTATGTCAAAACAAATGCAGAACCCTAAGAAAAGAAGCCTGGAAGATTTAATTCATAGTCCAAATCAGTTAACATGTAGCAATCTACGTGATTCTTGTTCTACTTGGTCTTCTTAAAACTTCTTAACTTGACACATTTTCCTCGACAAGGCTAGATGGAGATGGATTTGAAAGTCTCTTGGCCCCACAATGATCAAATTCTTTATTTAGAAATGTTACCACAATCATATACCCCACACATACCTCCCTCCATTCTGTAAAGAATACAAGTTGTCCAAGTTGTCCATCAACGACCTAAAACACCAATTCATGCATTCTGAGATTGCTTGTGGCCCAATGCTGCCAGTTCTTCTCCGGGGAATACAACATCTCAGAAATCTATGGAAGATACCCTTCAATTAGAGGGTCCTCAATATTTACAAAATTAACAAATTACTGAATCAGTAATTATTTTGGGAGACCAGGACATCCAATGGATGTCTGACTCATGGGAAGCCAAGAGTAGATATTTAGCTACTCAGCAATCTACCCTTTGAAATGGTCAATATCGGTATATTCAAGAAGCTATTCTTATGGAAATCGCATATGTGGAATTCGCACACCATTTGGAAACTCCTAATCAGAAAAGTAGCCCTATCAAAGTTAGTAAGGCTATTATTCTTTAGGTCTAACAAACTGATAAATGGGATTTGGATCCGAATCAGTCCAGAAGTTTGAAA